CCACAGGGATATGATAGGGGAGCGAGTGAGATGAGGGGTATCCACAAAACAGTCTCTCAAATGGGGCCCCTCTATGAGTTTGACCCCTTGGTTTGGCATGCACAATAGTGTGCCATCAACAGGCAGAACACTGAATCCAGACAACGTTTATCTGTGTCTAATGTTGACAAGAATGACACATCCTCTCTCCTGTATCTCCTGGGTATCAGCAGTCTCAGGCCCTGCCAACCAATGGATAGAGGAAAGGGTACAGAACCGGAATCAAACTATCATCTGCATGACACAACAATTACAGGGTGACCAAGCCGACCGATTCCATTCTCCCAACAGAAAGAAGCCACATTCACTGCTCTGATTCAGCCATGAGGAAGCAGGACTTGCAGCTGCCACATGATACAGTGGCAACATATGTGGGGTTCTCAAAAAGGATCAGTAGCATGGCCTCCTGCTGTGTAAATAGCAAGTTTACCTATATGTGTAAGTGCTGGAAAATTAGAGACATCCACAGCTTCCCAGAGAAAGATTCTTAGCAGCACTGATTCAAAGTAATTCCGTCTCTGGGTTCTGGGGCCATCACAGACCTCGTATGGTGTAGGAAGTCACAAAAATCCTCATTGGGAATAACAGTGCAGCCTCTGTCTTAGTTTCTAGAAGTCAAAAACAGTCACAAAGGGTGGGTTAATATAGTAATTTGATCTGGTAGTTTTCAAACTTAAACACCTACTTAAAAATAGAAACACGTTGCAGCTTTGATTAACAGGCATTACGTGCTAAGTGGTACACATGCCATTTTTGGATCTGGCTTTCTTTCAAAAGAGTATTTTAGTAAAAAACAATTTGAGCCCTCTGGCGATAGGTTCACTAGACCCACTCAGCTTGATCAGTCCCTTGTGCTTGCTTCTTTGGCACTTGTTACTTATCTCTGCTAATTAGTTAATAAAAACCAAGCTTCTCCCTAGATTTAAGGAAGACGGGAGCTCTGTGCCAGCTGCTAGGACTAGCATGCCTCTTCTGAAAACGAGTTACCTCAATTTAAATGAAATCTTCATCTTCAAAGTATCTCCAGCCATCATATACCTCGTTGCACTTCCACCAGAATAAATTTGCTTATTTATTTATATTTCCTCTGCCAGGTTTTCTCCCTGTTTAAGTACCTTGTTGAATTGGGGCCTAAAGCATGGAAATAGTCACACTGAAGCCAATGGGACTACTCATGTAATTAGTTAGGTACATGCTTAACTTCTTTGCTGAACGGGGGCCTCAATTTGTATCCGTCTGCCTTCAAGATATACAGACACTTCATTGACAGTGGGTTTTTTTTCTTTTTTACAGAGTCTGAAAACAAAAAGAGAACTTCACAAGCAGCTTCCAAGTCTCATGAATTTCCCACACAATCACACGCTAGGCTGTTACTCATGGCATAATTACATGGATAAATTCTAAATCTGCATTACAGACTTCATGCAGCTTTAACTCCTGTAATAATTTCTAGTCACACAATGATCCTTAAACACAGCATATAAGATTGGTGTGAAGACAAACGTACTCAGTTACATCTTAATAAAAATCAGTTGAGCCTCAGGCTATGGGAACCTGAGTAATGGGATGTAGCCAGTATCTTCAGGTCATAAATTTCAAGAGAGGCAGATTATCCTATCCATCTTTGTACATCTGCCTTATAATGTGATTTAATTATTCCAGTAGTGGAGGACAGGAGAGGCAACAGTAAGCCTCTGAAAGGGAGCAATTTATGAAAACCTCATTTTCACCAGCTAAAAAGTGAAACTATCAGGTTAAAAACCATAAGTGACATAAGAACATAAGAGTGACCATACTGGGTCAGACCAAAGGTCCATCTAGCCCAGTATTCTGTCTTCTGACAGTGGCCAATGCCAGGTGCTCCAGAGGGAATGAACAGAACAGGCAATCATCAAGTGATACATCCCATCACCCAGTCCCAGCTTCTGGCAAACAGGCGAGGGACACCATCCCTGCCCATCCTGGTTAATAGCTATCGATGGACCCTCCATGAATTTATCTAGTTCTTTTTTGAACCCTGTTATAATCTTGGCCTTCACAACATCCTCTGGCAAGGAGTTCCACAGAATGACTGTCGTTGTGTGAAAAAAATATTTCCTTTTGTTTTAAACCAACTGCCCATTAATTTCATTTTGTGACCCCTAGTTATTGTGGAGAAAGTAAATAACACGTCCTTATTTACTTTCTCCACACCAGTCATGATTTTATAGAACTCTATCATATCCCCCCCTTAGTCGTCTCTTTTCCAAGCTAAAAAGTCCCAGTCTTATTAATCTCTCCTCATACGGAAGCCATTCCATACTCGTAATAATTTTTGTTGCCCTTTTCTGAACCTTTTTCAATTCCAACATATCTTTTTTGAGAAGGGGCGACCACATCTGCACACAGTATTCAAGATTTTATAGAGGCAATATGATATTTTCTGTTGTATTATCTCTCCCTTTCTTAATTATTTCCAACATTCTGTTTGCTTTTTTGACGGCCACTGCACATTGAGCGGATGTTTTCAGAGAACTCTCCACAGTGACTCCAATATCTCTTTCTTGAGTGGTAACAGCTAATTTAGACCCCATCATTTTATATGTATAATTGGGATTATGTTTTCCAATGTACATTACTTTGAATTTATCAACATTGAATTTCATCTGCCATTTTGTTGCCCAGTCACCCAATTTTGAGAGATCCTTTTGTAGCTCTTCGCAGTCTACCTCGGACTTAGCTATCTTGAGTAGTTTTGTATCATCTGCAAATTTTGCCACCTCACTTTTTGCCCCTTTTCCCAGATCATTTATGAATATGTTGAATAGGACTGGTCCCAGTACAGACTTCTGGGGGACACCGCTATTTCTCTCTCTCCATTCTGAAAACTGACCAACTTTCTTTCCCTGCACTATCAACAATCCTTCTAATTTTTTGAAGAAAAAGTTTCACAAATCTGGTTCACTTTTTCCCATGGACACTATGTATAACTTTGTATTTCATTCAGCTTGGACAACAAATATAGGAGAGTCACTTTCACTCTGTCTCTCATACATTAGCACTGGAACACAACATTGGCAGGCAAATATTTATATCCTCACAAAAAAATTTTCATAGTATTGTGTGTGTTTCAAGGAAATATTTATATTTATTAGTGATGAGAGCACCAAGTAAGACATGCATAAGTGAGAAAGTTTGTTGACAAAAATAAGCTATGCAAAAGTTTATGCGATCGTGAATGCAACTTGTGTTGTGAAACATGACTTTTGTGATATGACTGAAAAGACACTTACATGCTCAACTTTAGAGGTAAGTATGTGAGTCAACCTTGTGTGCTGGTGAGCATGCAGATTAAAAAAACCTTGTTCTTGATTGTGAAAGTCTCTCACATAATATGACATAAGACACACTCATGCTTCCCTCCAGTAATGACTTATGTAAATCCTTGATTTTACAAAAGTTTACATTTGACTTCAATTGACCTAGCAGTGTTATTTTAAGTAAAGAGTGGCTCTGGCAGGCTCTGAAGGCAGTCTGTTAGTGTTCCATTGCTGATGCATTTAACAGAAGAGAGAGTGGAAATTATGGACATCATCCAGAAAGCAATTGATAAGATTCGTTCTTGCACGTAACAATCTTTCAATTACAACTATAGAATCTTTTTCCTGACCCATATTTAACTGAAACAGATATTCATAACATGAAACAGCATAATAAGGAAACTAAGTTATTTCCTCTGCTTCTTTCAGCAAAGTTTTGAAGCTTCAGACCTATTTCAAAAGTACTTACACAGATTTAAGAACACTTAACCGCAAAAAGCTGCCCCACAATCCCTTTAGAGAACACAAGCGTTAACCCTTTCTGAGGCTTTAAAGACGATTTGTAACGGGAAACAACCTGTTGGAGCCTTTTACAATTCTTTAAGAAGAAAAAAGTTCAACATATTAATCCCTTCCTCCTCAACCACAGCTGTGTGCGCTCAGGTTTCAGCCTAGAGTGATGCCTCTAGTCCAGTCCTCTAAACATTACTAATGGCCTCTGGCAAAAAGAGGAAAGGATGGAGACAAGATTTCTAATGTAAAACACAAGAGGGAACTTTATTTTTCCCTTTATCATTCCTTTATGATTCATAAAGCAGGGTTTAAAATAGTTTTTGCTTTGGTGTTCACTATTAACAATTGTACTGAACACTTCTACAGAGCTGTATGTCAAGATGACTTACACCAATTACTATCCTCGCAAAACCCCTGTGACATACATACAACATCCCCCATTCTCCAGACAAGGAAAATGAGGAATAGAAGGGATGTGACTCCCCGAAGGTCACACAAGCAGTAACTGTCAGAGCTGAGCTCCAGCTCCTTATTCAGATCACCAGTCTCTCTCAAGGGATTAGCAGAACATACCCAAAAAAGGGAAACTGAGCCCAAAAGCTCTGTTAGGAGGTCCAGTCCAACAAAATGCCATTGCAATAGCTAGTTAGGAAAGCCAAAAATGCAACCTCAAGCTCAGAGTTCTACAACATAGCCCACTACCCTTTCATCTCTAATACAGACGCATGGCTCACTCAGACTGCGGCATAGCATGTTTCATCTTCAAAGCAGCATCCAGGGCAACTGAAACCTACTCCATTTAATGCAGATTAGTTTTGGCCTCATGACTCCTGGCAAATTACCATTAAACAGTGTTTGGGCAAGTCTGGTCTACCTTGCCTCATTTTTAAACCATAAGCAGCGAAGTATCACCAAGGAGGTCTTCAACAAGGGGGGAGGGATAGCTCAGTGGTTTGAGCATTGGCCTGCTAAACCCAGGGTTGTGAGTTCAATCCTTGAGGGGGCCACTTAGGGATCTGGGGCAAAAATCAATGCTTGGTCCTGCTAGTGAAGGTGGGGGGCTGGACTCGATGACCTTTTGAGATCCCTTCCAGCTCTGTGAGATAGGTATATCTCAATATATTAACAAAAAACCTCATCAAAATAGAATGCCAGACTCGTTATGAGAATTTATTTGCCATGGCTATGACCATATCTGTTTTCACGTGCCCCTCGTCCCTCTCCCAATTGTGCTAGGTTTCAGCTCTTCTCTACCAAGGAGCTCAGTCACTCTGTGTTTGGTGGTAGCACTTGAACCACATTAGGTGGCTTGGTTTTTTGTTCTTGACGCCATTAACCATTGCTTCTGATTTATCTTTTTCTCAAGGCTTTTTGTAGGATTCTCCACGTCCTCCAACGGATCTAGGATGCTTTCCTGTGTGGCCAGCCCCCCTTCCTCCACCCTGCTTTCTCTTAATTTGTCCCTGGGACTCTGCTTTAAGTGTCTCGATCCAGAAGGCATCAAAAGAGCCTGGGGCCTGATACCCAGGCTCCTGGGAATCTAGCGCCTCTTTGCTCAGCAAGACACATATGGCAGGAATATTTCTCTTCACTGTCAAGGCATCTAGACCAGCCTCAGGGACAATGGGCTCCCAGATCTCTTCGGTCTGTTTGAAGAGCACTTTGGTGATTTGGTGGAGTCCCTTGAGCCGTCGCTTCATGATTTCCACACAAGTGATAGTCTTGCTGATGGCTTTGCCAGAGCCAGTGAAAAGAATCTGCCTAACTGAGTCGGACTCCATCTTGCCGATGGCATAACCCATAAGATTTCTGATTTTGCTGCCATCCTTCACTTTCATCTCGATAATATCTGAAGGCAGGTTGGTGAATGGAAGGGGAGAGGGCTTCTCCACAATCTTGGATTTCTTATAATTCTCCATCACTCACCACTGTAAATGAGAACAGCATCAATGAATATTTCTAATTATGATTCACAAAGGCAACATACCTAAGTTCACAGGCTACATTACCTGACTGATAAAAGTTGAGTAGAATCCACACTTTATTCATTTTTGTTACCATACCACCCGAGACCTTGTCATGGACTGGGACCCCATTGTGCTAGATACTATATTCTGACTTCTAGCATGTTCTAGAGCAGCAGTTCTCAGCCAGGTCTCCGTGGGCCACTGGGGGTCCACTAGCCGTTTCAGGGGGTCCGCCAAACAGGGATGCTCGGAGCCCCAAGCCCCAGCGGCTGAAGCCTGGATCACCGGTGCCTCAGCAGATGCTCCCCGAGGCTCCCAACCCCCCTCCAGTGGCTGAAGCCCAGCCCCTCCCTCCCCGCCATGGAGTTTTTATAGCATGTTGGGGGGCCTCCGAAGGAAAAAGGTTGAGAACCCCTGTTCTAGAGTACCTAGCTGAACTCAATAATCTAAATAGTATCTTAACTCATATTCAACTACTCGTGTTGTGGCAGCACCCAGGGATCTCATTGTGCAAGAGGCTGCAGACACACAGGAAGACAGGTTTCAAAGTAGCAGCCGTGTTAGTCTGTATCCGCAAAAAGAACAGGAGTACTTGTGGCACCTTAGAGACTAACAAATTTATTTCAGCATAAGCTTTCGTGGGCTACAGCTCACTTCTTCAGATGCATAGAGTGAAACACACAGACAGAAGATATTTATACATACAGAGAACATGAAAAGGTGGAAGTACGCATACCAATTGTAAGAGGCCAATCAATTGAGATGAGCTATCAGTAGCAGCAGAAGAAAAAACTTTGAAGTGATAATCGAGATGACCCATAGAAGGTGTGAGGTCCTCACGAAGGACTGTTATTTTTACGTCAGTGGGACATTTACCACATTTGTGCCCCATGAGGGACTCTGGAACCAGCATAACATGAACCCTGAAGAGATTTCACATCGGAGACAAACAATGGGGGGAGGGATAGCTCAGTGGTTTGAGCATTGGCCTGCTAAACCCAGGAGTTCAATCCTTGAGGGGGCCATTTAGGGATCTGGGGCAAAAATCTGTCTGGGGATTGGTCCTGCTTTGAGCAGGTGGTTGGACTAGATGACCTCCTGAGGTCCCTTCCAACCCTGATATTCTATGATTCTATTCTATGAATTCCCATCCCCAGAATAACCCAAAGCCTGATGATACTTGCAGCCTATAGGAAGGGGAATTTTACTGAAGGAGGCTGGATGAGCTGGAAGGATCAGAGCCCCCTGACTCTAGCCAGTTATGGTACAAGGCCTGGGGTCAGATCTTGGCTGATGTAAGGTGTGAAAGTATGGAGCTCTCAAGTTTGGGGGG